CTACAACCTGGAGCCTCAGACAATTGAAAATGCTGTGCAGAGCTGGCTTGAAGCTTCTTTGGAATATTTCCTTCCTTGAAGATTTCTAATAATTGGGTTGCCATTCGGATAGAGTGCGACCGCTTGCTGCTGAACATCTGAAGGATACTTGATTCGCTCCAATCTCGAGCAGTGGAAATAGTGGAAAAAACTAAAGACACCCCCACATAGCCTCCCACTGTAGAGCCTATGGAGCTAAAAAACTACAATACCATGAAGTATTGTATGTGAGGATAAAATTCGATCTGTCGAGGGAAAACTCGCTCGAGCTTGAATCAAAAAGGAAGTCATGTGAAAAGTGGTGCGATTTTCCATTAGTCCAGGCATAGTGTTATTTTATTCTTCGCCGACTGCCAGGTTCCAGCTCAGTACCGATGACTGAGAAAGAGACTTTGTTGTTGCCTAGTTTTAGAGTAGTTGTTGCTGAAGAAGAACCCATTCCCATCCCCATCCCACCCCAACCCATTTGTGATCGCTTTAAGTGCACAATTCTTGAGCTCTTGAAGTTGGGGGAGGAGCTGAAGGCAATGTCTGAGAATGTAGAATACGACTCTGGTGGGAAAGAGTGTACCAACATCTAGGAATACTCGAATGGACTGCTATCCACAACTAAGAAATCTGCAGAATTGCCAAATCTGAACCATCGCCAGATGCCAGCTGTGTTTATCAGTTAATCAGTAATCAGTTAATCAGTTAATCATGTCTATTTGTGAATAGAAATGCAAACTTTATTTGAAATTTGAATCTGTGCTGCCTTTGCTGTTTGTTTTATTTACAATTATTATTGTTATTACTATTTTTTCTTTCTCTTTTCTTTCACTTTTTCGTTCTCCTTCTCAACTTTTTGCTTTCCTTAACTTTACTAAAAAAAATGAATGGGGTAGGGGGTTGGGGATATTATATATACGTTCGCTTTTTTTTAGTAATACTCTATTTACAAGCGTTCCTAAGGCATAAACTAAACTTAGAGAAGGACTCGTCGTCCTTTCTCATCCAAACACTCTGCACTTATAGTCTAGAGGCGTAGCGCCCGTTTTTTGTTTTACTTTTCTTTAACTTTATAATGACAAAAAAAAAACATTATTATTAGCTGCAAAAAAAATGTGTGTATGTGTGTGTGTGTGTGTAAGTGTTATATACTTTATTATATATGTATACGTATGTATGTGTGTGTATGTGTGTGTGTGTTTGTATGTACATTAATAAATATGTTTGCTGCAAGAGTTGCTTTGCTTTTCTAAGCCTACTTTTCTTTCGTTTTCTTTTCATTTCGTTAAGTGTAATTCGTAGAATTGTATACCATTCAGTAATATTTTCGATATCTGCATAATTTCTATATATATATAGCATATATATATATGTATATATGTATGTATAAGTAGTATATAGCGAATGAGTGTTGGCATTTGAATGTGAAACACATATATATTTTGAATATATATATGCATGTGTCTGTTTCTTTATGTGTGTTTCTGTGTGTGTGTGTTTGTGTGTCCGCAATATCTGTGCTCTATATTTTCATTTTCGATTTCAATTATAATTACAATTTCAATTTTCTTTTTCGTTTCTTTCTTCAATTTTATAATCAAAGTTTAAAATGCATTTCAGCATATAGCTATACATAGTTATGTGTGTGTATATGTATATATATATATGTGTATATATAATCGTATTTCTATATATAAATATATTCAACATTCAAATCATCTACTCCTCAGGCGGAGTTCTGTTGCGCAAAACTGTTCAGCTTTGACGCTCCTTTGACAAACATATTTGCTAGGCAGGTGTCTATATATGTATGTGTGTGTGTGTGTGTGTGTGTGTGTGCTGCCACTCGATATTAAGGACTACCTAAAACGCCAGCACACATCCTTGCATTTTTCTCTAAAACTGAAAATGTAGCGCTCTGCCTCTGCCACTCTCTCGCTCGCTCTTTGTCTGAGTGGCTGTGTGTGTGTGTGTGTGTGTGTGTGTGTGTGCCACGCCTACTGCTGGACAGCGTGGGCGTAGTATGGGGGGGGGCATAGAAATTTGTAGTTACTTCGTAGGTACCTTGCGTTACGTTTTTACTTCTTCAATGCCAACGATCGAAGCTGGACTGGACCGAGACTGGACCGAGACTGGACTGAGACCTGAGACTCACTCACAGCATGTCCGCAAATGAGCCATAATGTTCATGAAATATCGGTCGGCGACACTCCTCGACCGCTTCGTATTTGTAATGGCGTCTGCCTGTGGCATACAGTTGTTGATAGCAGCGTTGTTGTTGGTGTTGTTGTTGCTGATGTTGTTGCTGCTGGTGCTGGTGATATTGGTGGTAGTAGTGGATGGCATGGCATGAGGCAGTCTTTGTGTTGTATTCCTGCAGGAGATGGAGAAAGGAAGAACAAAACAAAACGTTGAATCAATGTCTGTAATGCTAATGGGCGTCAGAGGCCGTCTATACAAGCATAGTAGTATGCACGTGTATGTGCGAGTATGCAGCATGTCCGTGGCTAAATACTTAGTATGGGTAATAGAAAGGGCAGGAACAGTAATGGCATTTCTTCCCAGCAACAATTCAGTTAGCAGGGACGCACTCAGATGGACAGCAAAGAGCAAAGAGGGAGGGAGCAGCTCAAAGGGAATTGAGATATTTCGAAATATAGTAGAAACATATTAAAACCACCTCTTCAATATTCGCTTTAACACAAGCATTTTTGATTGTACAAATATATGTATAAATAAAATAAAAAAATAAAAAAAAAAAAAAATAGATATACTTTTATTTATAAATATGAGTACTTATTTATAAATAAAAGTATATCTATTTAGACTTTATTTTCCCCTACATCATAGGCCCTATACCCAAAGGGTAAAAGGCTGTACTGGTTCACATTTAACATCTGATCAGCATGACAAGACGAATCGAAATTAGAAATATCCGTCTGTCTGTATGAACGAAAGCATCTCAGAAAGCATAAGCCTGTCTTCCAGGTTCTCCCAAGTTTTAAGTTTTTAAGAAGGGTATACTCAATAGGTTAACAGAAGGACCCCATGCAGTATTTATTAATTCTTAATCAGCATGACGAGAGAAACCGATATAGCAATTCCCATCTGCCTAAATTCCACCAAAGAAGCCCTTAAGTTAATGAGTTAATGACGGACGGACATCCACATGCTGACGCATCTCGGCATAAGTATTTGTCGATAAGCAAGTTTCAATTTCTAATCCACATCCTATTTAATGATTTCAATTTGTCCTAATAATTATAAACATTTCTGTATGCAATTGGTTTTCGAAATTCGGTTTGGCAACGAATTGTGTAGGCTAGACCTTCCAAACCTTTGTGGGGGAAATCTCTTGTAGGAACCAATTATGTTGGCCACAACAGGTGAGTTCTTTACAACAAGCCACTAGGTATGGGAATTATGCGAATGCAGTAACATTAGGTGCGGTAGAAAAATATTTCAAATATTCCAAAGAGCAAATAAATGTAATATATAAGCTTAAAATTTAATTTGTAAATTGTTATAATACTCGAAATTATTATATACTTGTATTTACTTATTTTTTAAAATTTTATTTTACAGCCTAGGCTTGGGGCATTTTTGTAGCCAGTCCTGCAAGCCATGTCCCGATTCACAGCCGAGTGATAACTCAAAAGAGGGAAGAGACAAAGCTTGGTTGAAAGCAAATGGAAATAAGGATATGTGTATACTCGTATGATATGGGGCAGACAAATTTTCGTCCTCCGACAATCAACTTTTGGAGTATCACAAAAACAAGGACAACAATCCTGCGGTTAGCCAACGGCAGAAGTCGGCTTGAGAGGAATGGCAAACGAAAGCTTAAACCACCAAGCGCAACGCGAAGGAACTGTTTCTAAACCGACTCAATCCGATCGTGGTTATAGTATATATATGTATCGTATAATAATATATAAATATATACACATTATTTGTAATATATAATAATAATGAAATGCATAATAACAATAACTATCATAATTATGCTAATAATACAATAGTAAAATTTATTTTTCATGGATGTCCTTTTAGAAGGACTCGTCATAATCATTGTCCTGTCATTTTCTTGTATATTTTATTTCCTATCTTTAATTTTTTTTATGCAATTAAATTACGTTGATAGTTATTAATTTATTAAATCTGAAAATAAAAGAAAATAAAAATGCCTAAAAATCAATTTTGAATGCTTTTTCTATGATTGGGTCGGGTCGGGTCGGGCGAAGAGGGTGTTTATTGGGAAAACTCATATAGCGGACTCATAGGTAAACAAAATTCAATTTGAACGATGGCCAAAACGGCTGCGTTGGCTAAAATCCAAAATCTGAAGTACCAGGCGAACATAAACCAGCAGCAAGATGATTTTTTCCAAAAAATTAAAAATTAAATTCGGCCTCCTAAAAGTGTGCTACACTTTTTTAATGTAAGCCGGGTCCCGAACCATTTGACAGCCCGGCTTCAAACCACCTTGGCAAATTGGTTTGAGCCCCAGCTGCAAAATGGTTTTAAGCTTGGCTTAAAAATATTTTTAATTTTTTAAAAATCATCTTTCTGCTGAATTATGTTCGCCTAGTATCTAGCAAAGATGGCAGTTTGCAAACTAAAACTGCGGCGGCTGCGGCTTTTAAGAAATTTGGTCAAATCGTCTGCAAATGCTAAAATCCAGCTCTAAAGTACCAGGCGAACATAAATGGGCAGCAAGAGGAATTTTTAAAAAATTAAAAATTAAATTCTGCCCCTGTTTGATAGGCTATACTTTTTCTAAACGGCAGCCGGTTCCAAACCGAGTAATTATTAAATAAATAAATAGATAAATAAGCTGCAGCGGAACAACTAAAATTGAATGCAAAAAAAAGGAATCTTTTCAGGACTCGCTGCTGATTTATGTGTGCCTGAAGTTGAAGGATTTAGATCCTACATCCTGCAGCAAATAAATAAAAAAATAAGAAAGGTTGTTGCATTTTAAAAGTTGTTTTATTTAAAATAAAAAAAAACTGTATAAAATAGTTGCCTTAAGGTAAGTGACAATTTTTAAAGGTAAGGATTAATTCAGCCAGCCATCTCCTTTTAAAAGAAGAAGTAGAACAGGGGACCCAAACGGTTCCTTTGAACAGCAGGGTAAGTGCAAAGGAGTTGCTGCACTAACCACACATCTGAGTGGCTTCTACAGAACTCAAAGGTCCCAAAATGCAGGCCATTGCTGATGATGCCAGGCTTACAAATTAAGGATAATCGTCTTTACATAAAATTCCAGCATTATGCCATTCAATATTTAGCAAATACATATATACAGCAATCGAATACAGTGCATATCCTGAGAAAAAATTCAGAATACCATAGATTAGTTTTAAAATACATACATAGCATAGGAATAGCTTTTTCTTAAACAATTATAATATCTTAACTCTTACATTATTTGTCTAGGTTTGCAAATATGGAGATCCTTACAAGTAAGTACATTCTAAAAGACGCAGAGAGCACAATCGAAGCCACAAACTTTACATCCTTAAAGTTGCATTTATAAAGTAATTTTTAGACATCGTCTCAGGTCTGTGACTGATCAACAAAGATCTGAACAGAGATACCCTGCAGGAGTACCTGCACGGCTTTAAAATGTTGGGCAAAGCGCTGGAACATTGGCATTAACGGCAGCAAGTGCGTCAAATCGTGTTCTTGCTGGACCATCTGATGGAGCAACTCAACAGTTACAGGTCCTTGAGCGTACATTTAGGTCCCTGCCCTGTCAAAGCTCTCAGTATAGAACACAGCCATTGCATACATTATATATATCCTGAATTGCTTCTTCCTGGCAATATGGCTTGCTGGTATTCGGAATGGCTGCAAAATCCCACCTAGAAAGCCCCCGGTAAATGAGATCTGCAGACATGGAATAAGACCTAGGAGTTCCCAAAGCTGATGAAGTCCTTAGCAAGAAGGCTGTTTTGGCATTTTATTAGCGTGTTAAGAGCGCTCCTTTTCTCTCTCTCTCTCTCTCTCTCTCTCTCTCTCTTGCACAGACTCCCTACTCTCTCTTGCTCACTTTCAGGCTACCTCTGACACAAGTAATAATGGAATAATGGAAATAAATTTACAATACACAAACAAAGCACATATAATTAATAACTGTGTTGTCTTCTTAGAAGCCCGCTCTCATTATTTCTCTCTCCCCCTCTCTTTCTGCCTCTTCCTTCCTTCTCTCTCGCGCTGTCAACTGCTCTGTGCTGGCCTGGCAACTAAATTATGCCCAGCATCTAAAATTGCAGGCATACACTGTAGTGGCAACAAATTGCAAACCGTTTTGTTGCCACTTTCTCCCTCTCCCTCTCCCTCTCTCCCTCACCATCACCCTCTCCCTGTCCCTCCTCCGCGCATTGTCTCGCACACTCTCTCTTCTACCGCTGTTGGTGTAAATAACGGTCTGGCATAAAAGGCTGTACGATGAAGTCGGCGCTGGCCATGAAGCCGCATATATATTATCAATAAATTGCATCTGACTACACGCAGTTGGCAGAGCAAGACATGACGAGAGAGAGAGAGAGAGAGAGAGAGGCTGTGAAAGGGGGAAATGGGGAGAAGGGAATGCAGGGGGAAAAGTAACTGGGGCGAGAGCATAATACAATTGTGGGTGCAGGGTGGCATACGGAAGTAAACGTAAACGTGTTATTAAAAGGCGCAAAATATGTGCACAAACATGTTGCAATCACCTCTCTTCCTCCACCCTTCCCCCCCCCCCCACCATCCCCCTACAGGCAGTGCCACCTCCATATTGTCAGCCCCAGTTCAGTGGCTGCTCTCGCCTCTGACCGCCCGCACCTTGTTCTAATTTATTTATTGCTGTATGTTGCCATCTGTACGAGTATGTATGCATATTTACGAGTATGTATTTTTTTGGGGGGGCCACCCAAAATGTTGAGCCCAACAGGGACCGGGACCAGGAGCAGGACCAGGACCGTGACCACGACGTGCTAATGGGCTGTGGCAGCCGCAACGCTCAGCCCTTAACAATTATGTTGGAAATTTGTGAAAAGTCAACGATGAGCCGAACGAACGACCGGCCTGCCAATTTCCAACACATGCTACCCACAAAAATGCGCACAGTGGTCAGACAGGCAGAATATTTGCACACAAACTCGCTTATCAGTCGCTTTGAGATTTCCAACGATCTGTTTTTTTTTTTTTTTTTGTTAGAGATTCAAAAAGGTATTGTGGAAAGGCCATAAGCCTCCAACAACCGGGTAATGGAGTTCCACAACTTCTGGTTTTGCACATTACAGAGAGAAATTTCAGCCATGTGGTGGATGTTGCGCTGAAAACGATCCCTCTCTGCAAGTACAGTCACCAACAAGCCGATGTGAGGAGCACCCCGTGGCTGACAGAGCATTTTCCTCTCATCATAGTCATAGTCATAGAAATTATAGTTTCCCACCTTCTCTGGAAACTATTTACTCGTGTTATAAATATAACGGAAAGTGTCAATTAATTGGCTTATTTATTAAATTTATTTATTTATTTATTAAATTTATTGTTTATGCTTTTAACTACGAGTATATCATTAGCTTTGAAAGCGATATTTGAATGCAATTTTGATTTCCTCTGTTCGCTGACAAATCTCCTTCCATAATTGCATTTTGTATTATTTTTCTATTCATAAAAGAACTACCTACGTTCCCTAAAACTAAACTAATGATATTCCTAAATATATCTATTCCGGGAAATATACTTGTAGTAAGTAATTATAAATAAAGGAAGAATTTCTTGAATTCAAACAAAAAGTGGTTTCAAAAATTGAAATGCCGTTTTGCTCCAATGGCAATGCGATTTTAAAAAACGTTTTATTGGTGCTTAATATTATGTATTACTCTTCTTTTTACAATAAGACTATTTTATATTTTTATTGAAATGAAAGGGGATACAGATCATAATTATTTGTGCTTCGATTTCAGAAACGCGCTGAAATGCTCGCCACACTGTGCCTTCTTTTGGGCGCATCAGCTATAAGCAAGTGTGTGTGTGTGTGTGTGTGGGGGGGGGGGGGGGGGAGAAAGGAGTTGGGGCTTAGGGTGTATTATGTAGGTGTTAAGGGGTCGTCGCTTAACATTTGGCGTCGGCCGCTGGACTTCCTGGTTGACTGACTGACTGACTGACTGACTGAGTGACTCAGGAGGCAGCACTTTTGCTTTCACGTGTCGGCTGATGTGCGCCTCAAAAGTTATTAAGCCCACACACACACACACTCACACACACACTCCCACACACACACACACACACACATACAAACAAAGAGCAGACAGTTTCAAAAGCAGCTTAAACAGCTAAATGCGTTTTAAATGTGAACCCAACACGCCCCACCCCCTGCCACCACGCCCCGCCACCACCCCCAGACACCACCCACAGCACCCACACATCGCCCAATGCCCACACATCGGTGATTGAAGGAGCAGCTGCTGCTGAGGACAGCAGATTGGAGCACATGCGAGTGCGGGACGAGCGGCCCTCAGAGGCTGCTTTGCTTTTTGTTTTTAACTTCATTGATGCCGACGTGCGTTTTTCATGCCTCAACACACACACACACGCACACATTAATATATATATACATATATATATATAGATAGACATGCATTTGTATATGGACAAGTATGTGTGTACTGATGAGTGGACAGAATGGCAGACTCGTCTGTGCCGGCGACGTGACAAAACCCATTATAGATGCGACCGCAGAGATAACCGAACAGCGAGTCCGTTGCGGCCGCTTGTTATACTTTTTGGCAGGTTAACTTTTCAGCCTGCTGCCTGATGGATGTTTGAGTGAATGACTGAATGAATGACCGAATGAATGCTGACACAACAGGCGAAGAAGAAAAAGGTAACTTTTTATACGAGCACTCGTGCGAGTGTGTGTGTTTTTTGTGGCGCTTCGAGGGGTTTCATAAATTTCATTTTGTAACCATCAAAAAGTTAAGTCAACGATAAATTGAATGGCTGCATGATTGACTGAATGATTGAATGAATGACGCAGAGAGTGCCCAGTGCCCAGTGCTGCTGCGTCTGCTTGCCACAGTGGCACCAAATTTCATTTCTCACTTCCTGATTGCAAAAAGTTATATACAATATATATGAACATAGAAAGAAATCATTTTTTATTTAATTTTCAACTGACATTTTGTTGAGATTTTCTTTGATTTCTGAGAAGATCTTTAAGGCTCGCTAGTAAGGGCGTAGACAGCTTTTAGGAGGAGGCCAAAAAATTAAAATTTTGATTAAATAATACACGATTCAACAAATTCAACTCGATCCATTATAAGGCGAAATAGTGGTTGGCCACCAGTTTCTCGTCTCCATTCTACGGAGCTACTCTTCTGAGTCGCAACACTAGCTAAACCTATCCTGAAAGTTTTCTCATTGCATTCAATATTTGTCCTTTAAAGAACAGATTTTAAATAAAGACTGCATGTACTGGGGTGTAGGGTATTTGAGAGTTGAGTCCGCTCGACAACTTGACTCCAGCATTTTATTCTTCTCATACTTTATTCTTCTTATGCTTATGATTCCTTTCATTTCGAATTTTAAACGGACTGAACACTATTTGAATAAATGCTTATATATTCCTTCAACAGAGCTTAAATGCTCAATATCGAGTTTCAAAAACTAACTTCTTTTCTATTCGGAATGGCCCGAAACTTTCTCTTATGGGGGGACCACTGTATTGCGGGGGCGAAGGGCAATCAAAGGCGCTTCTGTCAGCCGGTTGTCGGTAATTGTACGGCTCGCTGGTCCTGTACGGCTGCCGGTCTAGACTCAAAGCCAAAAGGGGAGCTGACATGCAACAACACGAACAACAACAACAACAACGGCGACAACAGCGACAACAACGAAGAGTGTTTATCGGCAGCAGCATCAATATAAATACATATAGTTTACAACAACAGAGCAGGGACAGGACCACTGACATCACCAACGCGTGTTCGGTAAAAAGTCAAATGGCGTCAAAAAGCGTCATCGAACCTTTTGCCAAACACCTAGAATGCCCACACACACACACACACACACATACACATACACACGCTTCACGTACATGGACAACAAGAAGAAGACATGCAGTCGAATCTGGCAAACAATGGCATACCCTATCGCTGGCTAATTGGAGATGGAGATGGCGACAGAATTCTGATGCGCTTCAGCAAAAATGTTGAACAATAGGATCGTTTTCCAGCTTAGAAGGAAACATATATCTCTAAATAGTTTCAATCCAGAAAATGTTTAAATTCAAAGTGGAATTCAAATGCCATATATACCTAGTTAGCACATCAATTGGGT